GAAAATCGAAGGGGCGCGTTCATAGAGCCGGATGAAGGGCCGGCAGAGAAAGAGACAGACCGACCGAACGGCCGACCGGGGGCCGGCCGGCAGATTAACCTTTGTCCCATGATTTGAGGTTGGGGGTACCACGCGGGGTGTTTGTTCGGGAATTGGCCGCGCCGAGGACCGCGCGGCCCCGTCCGGGGTCGGGGCTGTAAACAGTCGCAGAGCACGAGGATGTTCGGGCTTCCCCGGGCGGAACGGGTCCCTTGTAGATGGCGCACGGCTTGAGCAGCACCTGCGGCCGAGCGCGGGTGGGAGGGATGGGACGTGGCATGCTTTGCGGCTGCGGAGGAGGCGCGAGAAGAGCTGAGGCGTGGGAGGGTTGAGTGGTGGTGCGCGTCTCCGTCCGAAGCGGCTCTGGAGGGGAGGCAACACACCTCCGAGTCCTCGCCCGGCGCCTGCTCGGTCGAAGAGCCGTCAAAGTTCCAGATCGGGAGGTCATCGACGGACTTGGGGGGGGCGTCGAGCGTCTTGGTCTTGCAGCGCAGCTCGCCCTTGCCGCCCACCCAGATGTACTCGGCCATCACCTGCGTGAGAGTGGCGGTGAGCCGCAGCGCCGGCCGCAAGTCGGTGGCGGGACGTTGGTGCGGGGAGGTGCGAGGCGAGTCGGCGTCACACCTTGCCGCCCTGGTCGAGCTGGGCGAAGCGATCCTGGATCGACAGGTCGCACTTGGTGTAGGGGGGGAGCACAGGGAAGGCCATGATGCGTTGTGTGAGCGCGTCTCGGTAACGCCACAGGCTATCCTCTGCACCCCCCCCCCAGGATTCCCGTTTGACGACCCCAGGATTCGGCCGCTCCTTGGGGTCCTCCGCCCTGGGGGCCTTTTGGTGATCCTTGCCACAATCTGTGGTCGGTCTGGATGATAAAAGAACAGACGGGAAACAGGCGCGACAGAAATCACAATTCGAAGTGCCCGCAAGTGCCCGCATTTCTTACGAATCGGAAAACAAACACAAAACAAACGAGACGCCGCACGTACACACACAGGCACAAATCACAGGCACAGACCTTGCATGGGCATGACAAGCAGCGTCATGGTCAGTCTTGCGCCCCAGAATCCTTGTGTCACTCCATCTCCTTGCTTCACACCAACCAAGGAATGGCGCGAGCTCGAGTGAGTGGCGACTGGCGTGGAACCGGACGCCGCCGAATCTGCCGGCGACTCGCTCGCTCGCGCCAGCCGCGCTGAATTCGCTTGCTCCTCCATGATGCGGACGGCGGCGAGGGCGGTGAAGGAGGCGGAGAGCGAGTGGCGCTCTCGCCTGCCGACCGATGATGGATGCACGCGAGTATTCGCGCGCCGCCTCCTCAGTCGCAAAGCCCTTCACGCGACCGGTGAGGCGGCTGGACAGCTCCTCGAGCGTAGGGTGCCCACAGGGCCCAAAAAAAGAAAGGAAAAAAGAGCCCTGCTCTCGTCTGCGCTAGTTTCTGCTTCGTCCTCACCGGCGTCTCTCCTCTTCCTTCTCCCCTTCTTGTATGCTTTAATTGCACATCGCGTCGATTCCTTTTCGCGTGAGCACCACCCTGAAGCCCGCCCAGCATCTGAACCGCTCCCTAAGTCGAAGGAGCATCATCAGTCTCACCCACTTCGCTCTCTGCCCACCGTCTCCGCTCCCTCCCTGGTGCCAAGACATCCTGATAAACAAACTTTAGGTTGTGCTAGTGAACTGAGGAGAAGCGGGTCGAGCCTCGGCGCAGAGGGCAGCGCCTAGCGGGCGGGAACCCTTACCCCGCGCCCGCCGCTGCCCGCCGCTTTGTGCGCGGGACCTCCGAGCGACGAGGCTCATGACACAGCTCCCGACTAGCGTCGGCTCCTGCTC